CACAAATTCGCAACAAATTAGGAGACAGAGGAGAGGGATGATGGCAGTTTCAGTCGACTGAATTAGCTTCACTGATTCAAATCGGCCGAGCTCGATGGCCGACCGCATGTAGGATAGGCGCACCATCTGGCGGCCATACACCAGCACCGGCCCACCCAAGAGCACTCGGCCACTCATGCCCTCACTTTCGCTCTCGCCCTCTCCATCTCGCTCACGTGTGGCTCCGGAGCAGAGCAAAGCGCAGCGCTCACCACTACCGCCACACCATCACCCAATCCACCTCACACGTAGCACCATCGTGATCTACTCCACCTCCCTAAGCAGCTAGCACCACTAGACAAGCACAGGTAAAGCCACATTTCATGTTGCCATCACCACCATGGCCGTGGAGCGCTGCCGAGCTCCGAGCTCACCCATGGCTAGCCACCACTGTAGCATCTCTGACCTCTCTCTCCCTCATCTGGTCATCGCCGTAGGGACTAGTTGCTAAGACCGCATCCGGCTTAACTCCTACCACCGCCGTTGCGTGGGAACACACCACCGCACCGAGCACGCCCGCCATGGCCGTGAGCTCAAGCTTGCCATGGCCGGCCCTCACTAGATCCCGTCTTCCCCCTCCTGTGTTTGTTTCCACACCGCCGTGACCCATAGCACCTTCTCCTATGATGTAGACCCATCACCAACCACCATCTCGTCGAAATTGCAAGCGTCGTCGCGTGTGTTGTGTGCCGTCATGCCTCCATGCATGTGGGCATAGCTCACCGCCGCTTCAACATGGCTTGATCCGCACCGTAGAGCTCCGCTAGGGTATGTAGAAGCTACAGCCGCGATCGCCTGGCTATGCCATCGCCGGAGACAATGAGTCCACCACCGTGCGCCACCACCGAGTCACCATGCTCGTCGGTGAGGTTGCTCCGGTGATGCGCCGAGCCAATTGAGGGTATCCCTTGATGCGGCTTGACGAGGCGAGTGTAGTGGTGAAGACCTCACCGTTGGTGAGTTATCACCAGTCAAACGCCGTGCACTGCTCCTGTGTCACTGACGTGTGAGACTGGTTGACCTACGGGCCCCCAATGTCAGTCACCATGGGTGCATCGACCGGGTGTACCTAGATGCTAAGCCCGATTTGAAATTGTTCTTCTTTATTTATTTTCATAGATTTGAATACAAACTTCAAAAATTTATATCTTGAGTTAGGAGTGTCCAAATGAGGTGATCCAAATTTTGTTGGATTCATCATGAAGTGTACTACTTAATAAAAATATGAAACCTACTGTTTGGGGTATTTTCTGAGGGAATTAAATTGAGCTAGATAAGTGCATTTAAATTTGTTTCTATCTTGTGAAATGTGTAACTTGAGCTAGGGAAGCGCTCAAATTGAGATTCTAATTTTGTGGGTCTTGTGCTGGCATGCTCTAGCTAGGAAAAATACTAAACCTACAGAAGACATACTTGAAATATGGTCTTTTTATTTAACCTTGATTATTTGCTAGTTTCTAGTGAAAAATAAATGGGGTAAAAAAATATATAACATATGATCATGCAAATTTTTACACAATGTTCTTATGCTAGGATGAAAGTAAGAAAAATATTAAATCTGTTGTTTGACACTTTTCACTAGGCTAAACTATTTTTGCTAAAATAAGCCTTTGCAACTCGTCATTTTTGTAGAAGTTTCTATACTTAACCAAATGACATCAAATTTGTACAGTAGACTATTGGGATTATATGTAACCAACTGTAATTTTCTCAGAATTTATCCTCTAAATCACCCTATCATATAATGAAAATTAATAAATGAATATAAGTAAATTATTTGGGCTTAACCATGATGTTTTCTAGGGTGCTTGTGATGCATATGATCTATTGATGTTAGTAGTGGTGCTCAGAAATAATTGGTTATAGGCAACTAGTTAATTTTGGCTCTATAATTCAATTGGATGACTGCATGTATAGTTTCTGTTGTCATGGTGTTTTCATAATAAAGATGAAGTTTGCTGTGAATCTTGTTAATAACAAAGTTGTAGATAACTTACTCATTTGTCTCGTCCTAAAATTTCATGGTTGTAGGCCTGATGGTTTGAGAGTTATAGCTGTTAGAAGTATGCTGTCAGATTTGCATATCCTCTGGATAGATCTGGAAGATTGAATTGTTTGACATAGATAGCTACTGAATCACCTTAAGATGATTACAAAAAAGTTTTAGGAAATTTTATAAGCTTTCCATAAAGTCTAAGACCATGTTATTTGGGTGTATAAAACTCCAGTTATGGTGAAAACAAATAGCTGCTGTCTTGTAGTCCAGAAAATGCTTTAAATGGATATTTGTTTAATTACTAGAGAAGAGATATGACGTACTCAGTAAAAGGAGTTAATCTTGTTATCACCCTAGTACCATGTTGTTAAGGACATTTATTTTTATGCATCATATCATATCATCCATATCATTACCCGTGCATTCTTATATCTTATTTTGTGCTCATGCATATAGGATCGCCAGAAGGAATCACACTATTGGAGTTTGAGGTAGAGGAGGAGGAGAATTAGGAGGCACCACAGCAGGTAGCCCCTAAAAGCGAGGAGCAGGCTACTGAGGAATTACCAGAGTGCCCCGATCACAGGCCTACCTCCATTCTGAAAGGCAAGCCCAGAGCATTCTAAGCCTCCTATGTTTTTACAAATATCACTTGAGTCCTTTATGTTTGATGCATTAGGTTATAAGAGTTGGTTGGAAACACTTGATGCATAGAACTATCTTGTCCAGAAATATAATTTGAACCCTATGTAGGTAAAGGATCGAACATATGCTTAGCCATGCTTAGACCGATAGAAGTCAGGTGATTTCCAGTCACCTACGAGATATAGGTAGATACCGAAGCATAGTTGGCTATATTTGCTATCGTGGAAAAATAACCATGGGGTGTTGTTAAGTGGAGACAGGGCAGGAATGGTGTTAGTTTGGCTATGTTGGTCTTGTCTATGTCGATTAAGGACCGTACCATTGTTGGCGCTTCTGTCGAGATTGAACGCATGCCTCTCACTTAGCTGGCCGGATAACTCATTCCGACCGCGAAGCCGAGTAGCTCAACTCAGGCCAGGCCTCATTCTGTTAGAGTGCGCACACTAGAGGTAGTAAGGATGTGCGGGGAGCTAGTGTGAGGCCAAGGGCAGGTTAGAGTCCTGATCGACCTGGCATCCGATAGTGCCCCTGATTGTGCGACACTAATCGAACCCGCGAATTGGACCTGAGTTGTACCAAAGGTTACCTAAGACTACCTTGGTGCATGTATGTCTGGGTTTGTGTTAGGAATAACTGCCTAGCTAGTTGCAACCGATTCGAATCAACGTCTCTCCCGGATAGTGAGAAACTCGACTAGTCCCAGCATCTTCGAGTACATGCTGTGGAGTGCTAGCATGCTCTGGTTCATCTTTCCATTCCATACTTGTGGACTACCGTAGAGGTGTCGCTCGGTTGTGCACTTCATCAGATCGTACGACTACCTCCTCGACGTCGATCGGATCGACTACTCGCGCTTCATCAAGACTTCCGTTGCGACACGCGATGAGCGAAGGTATAATCTATGATCATCTACTCGCAAGGGATCCTGTTTACACGGTTATTTTATTGTGTGCTAGCGAGTAGCATACCCACATTTCCTAACAGTGGTACCATAGATGTGCTTGTGCTGTTTTTGATCTAGATTAAATATTTTGCATGGTTGGTTGTAGATCAGATCATTTTGGCGAATAGCGCTACGCGTGAATTGAACTGTTTTACTCCGTTCTTGCTTCCTCATTATGTGACTGACTAACTGGCCGTCTTTACGACGGTGCGCGAGCATCGCACGGCTGACCATGAGGTTGTGAGTTCGTGTAGCGAAACAGTCAATACGTGGCGTGAACAGCTATGTCGGCTAGAATGCCATGCCTGTTAGCTTACTGGCAGCATGTGAAAAATCTATTCTATCCGTTATTAGCTGACGGGACCAGATCATGTTTTAATTAAAAAAAAATAGGGACGCATTGCATCGTTCGTAGAAACGCCTAACTCATTTTTGCAGAGAATGATGTGATGGTATGGCCTCAAAATCATGTGATGATCTATGTGTAATAATTTCATGTGGCCTGTGTGTCACAAATTATTACAGCCAGGTTGAGGCTGTTCATTTTCGGCATGCGTGCCACTCCTATGATGTAATTTATAATTTTAATTTAGCTACTAGCGTGTATTAGCTGAATTAGATTATGTAATTCATCGACCCGAGCGAAGCGACTCGGCGATAGTCGTACCTTGGAGAAGGCGCCCAAGATGCGATGTCTCAGCGTAGGCGTGTGGACTGGTGGTCGTCGACATGTGCTGATTTTTGTTGGATGAAGAAAAGGCCATACTATCACAATAATTTGATTATCTATGATGCGAATGATGAATCCCTCATGAAAAATTAAGATTTTATGCCCTTCCAACAGCTGCACCATTGGGATCTTGTTAGTAGGTGATGGGTCTGCCAAAGCAGGGTGTCATCTTCTACCTAGATCCATTGGGTGGTGTCGGACACCACATCATAGTGTTGGTTTACTTGATAGAGCTATCAAGTCGGACTTGGGCTTTGGGGCATAAGTGTTGGGAGCCGAGACATATGATGTCGCCCAACAAATGAGAGTCGCATTGGATGCAATTGGCAAGTGTTGCCTACCTTGTTCACTATGATGCTAGCGGTGATGCCAAAGCTCACTAGTATCATAGGGAGCGTTGGATCTCATCCTGCTATGCAACGCCGGGGGACGTTCGCACAACATAGCAGGAATTCTTTTATTAAAGGTGTTAATAAAAGAAGTGCTAACAGTTGTGTATCTTACTGTTGTAGAAAATGTCGAGTGCATCAAACTTCAATCTGCGATCGATCCTAGATAGAGAAAAGCTAAATGAAACAAACTTTGTTGATTGGAATCGGAATCTGAGAATTGTTCTCAGATAAGAAAAAAAGGAGTATGTTCTCGATATGCCTTACCCAGAAGAGCCTCAGAATGTCGCGCACACCTCTAGTGCATATCGTGCTTATGTGAAGCATACTGATGATGCGGTGGATGTGTAGTGCCTAATGCTTGCTTGCATGAACTCTGAGTTGCAGAAGCAATTTGAGAGCACTAACCCGTACGATATGATCATGGGGTTACGTGGCATGTTCGAAAACTAGGCGAGGGTTGACAGGTTTAATACCTCAAAAGCCCTGTTTGGTTGCAAGCTTGCTGAAGGTGCTCCAGTCAGCTCTCATGTGATTAAGATGATTGGGTACATTGAGAGCTTGCAGAGACTGGGTTTTCCCCTCGATGACGATCTCGCCGCCGATGTGATACTGCAGTCCCTGCCTGCTAGCTTTGAACCATTCATCCTGAACTATCACATGAATGGTTTGAAGAAATCGCTGACTGAGTTGGATGGGATGCTTAAGACGATAGAGGCGAGTCTTAGGAAGACTCCTGGTCATGTGATGATAGTCTAGAAGGGTAAGAAGCGTAAGCACCCAGCGAAGGCTAAGTAACCTGCCAAAAGTGGGACTTCCGAGAAGGCGTCCAAGGCCAAAGAAAAGAAAGCTGGTGCCTCCCCTGACGATGCTTGCTTTCACTATGGTGTAAAGGGGCATTGGTCAAGGAATTGCAAGAAGTACTTGGAAGATAAAAAGAAGAAAGGAGGTGCGACCTCCACTCAAGGTATTAATGTTATTGAAATTAACCTTGCTACGCATTCTAATAATGCATGGGTATTTGATACTGGTGCAATGATTCACACTTGCAAGTCGTTGCAGGGGCTGAAAATAATTAGACGCTTTGCGAGAGATGAAGTGGATTTGTGCGTCGGGAATGGACCAAAGGTTGCTGCGTTGGCCGTTGGCACTTATCCATTGTCGTTGCCTTCTGGATTAGTGCTAGAACTCAATAATTGTTATTTTGTTCCTGCATTGAATAAGAACATTATTTCCTTCTCATGTTTAGAGGATGATGGTTATGAATTCATAATAAAGAACAAGTGTTGTTCCATTTTTATGAATGGCATGTACTATGGGAGATGTCCTATTGTGAATGGGCTTTATTTTCTTGATCTCAAAGATGCAGAAATTAATAGCATTAGTACTAAGAGAACTCACGTAGATAACTCAAATCCTACTTACTTATGGCATTGTTGTTTAGGCCGTATAGGCGAGAAACACATAGAGAGGCTCCATAAAGATGGTCTTCTCGATTCTTTCGATTTTGAATCGATTGAGACATATGAGTCATGCCTACATGGAAAAATGACTAAGACTCCCTTTGTTGGACAAAGCGAGAGAGCAAGCGAGTTATTAGGCCTAATACATACTGATGTATGTGGTCCAATGAACTCGGTTGCAAGAGGTTGTTTTCAGTACTTTATTACCTTTAGTGATGACTTGAGTAGATATGGCTATATCTATTTGATGAGGAATAAGGCAGAATCCTTTGAAAGGTTCAAAGAATTCCAAAATGAAGTACATAATCATACTGGCAAGACAATTAAATTCCTACGATCAGATCGTGGTGGAGAATATTTGAGCCATGAGTTTAGCGATCATCTAATGAGTTGCAGAATCGTTCCACAATTGACTCCACCAGGAACACCGCAATGGAACGGTGTGTCCGAGCGGAGGAACCAAACCTTGTTGGACATGGTGAGGTCTATGATGAGTTAGACTGAACTTCCATTATATTTTTGGGGCTATGCACTAGACTGCTGCATTTACACTAAACCATGTACCATCTAAATCTGTGGAGAAGACGCCATATGAGATATGGACTAGGAAGCGTCCTAGTTTGTCGTTCTTGAAGATTTGGGGCTACGAAGCCTATGTGAAGCATTTGACGCCCACTAAACTCGAGCCCAGATCTGATAAATGTGTCTTTGTGGGGTATCCTAGGGAAACCAAAGGATACTATTTTTATAATCGTCAAGAGAACAAAGTGTTTGTTGCTCGAAACACTGTCTTTCTTGAGAAAGAGTTTCTCTCGAAAGAAATTAGTGGGAGCATAGTGCAACTTGAAGAAGTTCAAGAAACACAAGAAAATGTTTCTGTTCCCATTGGTGAGGTGCAACATGATGAATCAGCGATGGTCGCTGACCAACATGATGAACCTCAACCACGAAGATCAATGCGGGCATGTCGCGCACCTAATAAGTACACGCTACTGATTACAGGGCAGAAAGACATCCTATTGTTGGACAATGAGGAGCCTAAAACATACACAGAAGCATTGATGGGATCGGAGTCTGAGAGAGGGCTTGATGCCATGCGATCTGAGATAGAGTCCATGAGAGATAATCAGGTTTGGAACCTGGTTGATCCACCTGATGGCATGAGAGCCATTAAGTGTAAATGGATTTTCAAGAAAAATATAGATGTTGATGGAAAGGTTCACATCTATAAGGCATGACTGGTAGCAAAAGGTTTTCGTCAAATTCAAGGTGTTGACTATGATGAGACATTTTTGCCCGTCGCAATGCTGAAGTCTATTCGGATCCTTCTAGCCATTGCCGCATATTATGACTATGAGATTTGGCAAATGGACGTCAAAATAGCTTTCCTTAATGGAAACCTAAGTGAGGATGTGTACATAACACAGCCTAAAGGTTTTGTCGACCATCAAAATGCTAGAAAAGTGTGTAGACTTAGGAAGTCTATACGGGCTAAAGCAAGCATCCCAGAGCTGGAATCTTCATTTTGATGAGGTAGTCAAATAGTTTGGCTTCTAACAAAATAAAGAAGAGGCATGTGTTTACAAGAAGGCTAGTGGGAGCGCACTCGTATTTCTAATCTTGTATGTGGATGACATACTATTGATTGGGAATGATATTCCGCTTATGGAGGATGTCAAGGCCTTATTGAGAAAGAGTTTCTCTATGAAGGACCTTGGAGAAGCAGCGTACATACTGGGCATAAAGATCTTTAGAGATAGGTCTAAATGCTTAATTGGATTAAGCTAGAGCATGTACCTCGACAAGGTGTTGAATAGGTTCAACATGAATGATTCCAAGAAAGGATTCATACATATGTCACATGGTGTAACCTTGAGCAAGACTTAGTGTGCGTTGTCGCCTGATGAGCAAGAAAGGATGAGTCGGGTGCCATATGCTTCGGCTATTGGCTCGATCATGTATGCCATGTTGTGCATGCGCTCAGACATTTCATATGCTCTAAGTGTTATGGGCAGATACCAATCCAACCCAGATGATGGTCACTGGGTTGCTTCTGAAGAACTAAGGATATGTTCCTAGTCTATGGAGGTTCGGAGGAGCTCATTGTAAAGGGTTACACCGATGCTAGCTTCCAAACTGACCAGGACGATAGCAAATCTCAATCGAGATATGTCTTCTACCTCAATGGTGGTGCAATGAGCTAGAAAAGTTCCAAGCAAGAGACAGTTGCAGATTCAACAATAGAAGCCAAGAATATTGTAGCTTCGAAAGCTGCAAAGGAAGCTGTATGGATCAGAAAATTTATTTCTGAGTTGGGCGTGGTCCCTAGTTGCTCTAGTCCGATAGACCTCTATTGTGACAATAGTGGTGCTATCACACAGGCAAAGGAGCCTAGGTCACACCAGAAGTCCAAACACATACTATGACGATATCACCTGATTCGAGAAATCATTGATCGAGGAGATGTGAAGATATGCAAGGTGCACACCGACCTGAACATTACAGATCCGTTGACTAAGCCACTCCCACATGCAAAGCATGAGATGCATACGAAGTCAATGGGCATGAGATGCTGGCATAACTGACTAGCACTAGTGGGGGGCTTATGATGATGTATTCCATAAAGGTAGTCATAAGATGATGACATCATGTCAACGTTTGTAATCTGCATTTTTTAGTGATATGTTCCACGACTTTGTCATTATATGTGATTAGCGAATACGTGATTCGTTAGCGAAACTCCATGATACAACATTGACATTGTACTAAAAATGGTCCCCAGCTTCCATCCGTCATGTGGGACTATGACGTAGAGATAAGCTGGTACATGTGTTGGGTGGATGATCTTGTTTCACAGGTCATGGCAATATGGGATATTGCGCCAACAATGTAGGCACGTGTTAGGAACACAGTGCCGGATAGACCCACAATGAGACACCGTGAATACACTACAATCGATGAATCTCGTAATGACACGCATATTACGTCCTTAGACCTGAGATCGGTATAGAGTCCCAGATTGTGGAGCATCACATTTTGGGTTGCTAAATGCTATTCCATAACTGGGTAGTTATAAAAGCAGCTTTTGGATGTGGTTGAAGCAAGTCACAGGGTGTATCGAGTCAAGAAGGAATCTGCCCCTCTCGTTTTAGGGAGAGACTCCTCTGGGACCTCTCAATGTGATGAACTAAAAGCGCATTGCCATGCCTCGACTAAAGGTTGGTCGATCAAAAAGTTCTTCACTGAGCGAGAAATGGCTAAGAATAAGGGTAGCACTTCATTCGCCTTACACTTGGCTAGGTGCTATGTGGCAGAAGGATATAATATTGGTGAGTGTTACAGGTTATGCAAGAAATGATCTTCGTGAACCTTCGGGAGTCAGTATGCCTTGCTAGAGGCCAGTGCTAACTATTGATCAGAAATGGTTTCTGAGTCATGTCCGTAGGTTGCATGAACCTACGGGGTCACACACTTAAGGGATTGGAACACATGGACACTTGCATAATTAACTCTTGTGCAAGTGGGAGATTGTTGGGTGCCCAAGAGGGTCCTGGCCCAATTAGCACTGGCCCAATTAGCAACCTATAAATACTAATTAGATTTTAACCCTAATGAGGTGTGATTCCTTTGGCCAGCCACCGCACACTTGCTTGCTGTCGCACGAAACTTCTTCTGTCGCACCAGCCTACTGCCGTAGGGCTGCTGTCGCCGCATAGGGGCTCCTACCCACATGCAACCTCTGGTGCGCCACTACAATCCTCCCTCCTAGATCAAAGGTTGATCGTGGGGATCTTTGAGTATGTGGCGTAGAGTGCTAGCATGCTTTGGTTCATCATTCCATTCCGTACGTGTGGACTGCCGTAGAGGTGTCGCTCGGTTGCACACTTCGTCAGATCGTATGACTACCTCCTCGACGTTGATTGGATCGACTACTCACGCTTCATCAAGACTTCCGCTGTGACGCGCGACGAGCGAAGGTATAATCTATGATCATCTACTCGCAAGTGATCCTATTTACGTGGTTATTTTATTATGTGCTAGCGAGTAGCATACCCGTGTTTCCTAACATTCTAAACCTCCTATGTTTTACAAATATCAATTTGAGTCCTTTTATATTTGATGCATTAGGTTAAAGGAGTTGATTTGAAACTCTTGATGAATATAATTTCCTTGTCCACACATATACCTTGAACCCTGTGTAGCTCTTAGATCGAATATATGCTTGGCCATGCTTAGACCGGTAGAAGTCAGGTGATTCCTGTCACCTACGAGATATAGGTGGATACCGGAGCACGG